ACATCAGTTGAAAAGGGAAAGTGATCTGAACATATTTTGCGATATCGAATTCCAATAATTTATAGGAGATCATAGTGACGTCTTTTTCTAATATGTCAAGTATATATTAGAAAATTATCATGACTATCATCGGGTACCTCCGCTAGTATTAAATATAAGAAAGAAATCTTTCATCATCTACTATTTGTGTTTTTGTATGGGAAGCCCGTGTGACTTTTGTTATTATAGAAGAAAAGAATATAAAATGCTGCGACACAATGCAGCATAATATTATATCGAATGCAGTTTTAAAAATTTTCTTTTTGATACAATTATGGTAAGAAACAACAAGAAAAAAAACGACTTCTTATATTTTCATTTTTATTTTTTACGTATATAGCCGACAAAAAAGACTAAAGCAGCTAAAACAGAACGCTCATCAAGTGGATCACCAAAACGTAAATCTAAGGCTAAAAATGCTGAAGAACGTTCAGATGTTGATGTATTATCACCAGCTGCTATAATCAATGCATATTATATATGTCATAATGTTGCTGATTGTTTAGATGCACGAGGTTTTGCATGGGAAGGTGCTAAAAAAGGCAAAAAGAAGAAAAAGAAAAAATCTTAAATATTCATTTTCTTTTCTTCAATTATATCTTTTAATGTTGTGAACATACTTATCATATTGTCATTCAATATAGTTTTATGAAAAAAATAGTCAAATCTATTTTCTTTCTTTTTCTTTGTATTTAAAGTGAATAAATAAAATAATATTCTTTATACTACACAGTTCTATTTAAGGTGAGAAATGTTTTAGATTTTGTCATTCGTAAAAAACACCGAATATACAACAATTGCTGCACTCAAGAAAGCAAAAAATGCATACTCTGTGTATGAACATACAAGAAAAGAAAAGCAACGAGATAAACAACTTCACTGTTTACAAAATAAAGAATAATGTCGAAAATTTGTTTTCTTATTGTGATGTTTGAAATGGATAAAACTCGAGACACACATAGATGCATTCATCAATGGAAATAAGATTTTGTATAAGAAAATAAAAAAATAGATCAAAACATTGATATTCAGGGTATGGGAGGGCTAATATGTCTTGTTATAGAATCTGCCTTGCCAGATGATGGTGCAATAAGATAATTATAAACTGCATAGTAATGAATTGCAGCACCAAAAAAGACAAAGCAATGCCAGATAGCATGTGCAAATGGTATGATACCATCAGATTTAAAGAAGAATACACCCGAAAGAAACATAAAACCACCAACACCCATTTCAAATAAACCATCATGTTCAATCTGAAATAAAATAAATATAAAATAGAATGAATTTCATGTTTTTATTCTCTATTATTTGTATAAATTTACCATATCTATAATAACAATTGCTGGTAGAAGACCAACAATAATATAGCAACATGTTTCAAGTAGTTTGTATCTTTCATGAAATAAAAGTTGAAAAGCTATGCCTAATAAAGCCATTATCCAAACGACAGTTATTGTAGTTGTTGTTGAAATGGTTTGTGTTGGACGAAGAAGAAGCCTTTAAGAAGCAAACAATGAAAAAAGTAAAAGAAATAGTATACAGGATGTTCCAAGAGTCCGTCAGAAAAATTTACTTACATATCTCTTACAAAATTCAAGCGATTTAATTGACTTTTTAAATAATATATTTGTATGTTATTCTAAGTTTTGTTCTACATATTTTCAGATAAATGTCTGTGTCTATCAATATTAGAACAAAAATAGTTTTATTAATAGTCCAATTTGAATCACCCATGGTTGTGAATCGAAACTAAAACTCAAATTTGGCAAAAATACACTAAATAAAGATTTGATTAAAGTTATATTTCAATACTGTTGTAAAACTGGTACAGTGGAAGATTGAGAATGTTCTGGAAGACCGTCAAACATTACAGAAGAAAATGTTGACGAAGATCATGATGTTTGTGAAAATGAACCACAATCAAGTATTCGAGCTACCACGGTGACCTGCTTCATTCGACGAACCAATTTCACCTTGTACGGTTTCAATGAAATGTAGTCAGTCATAATGCGATGTGCTGTTATTCATGAAATGAAACAGGGTACTGCGATAGTTTGAAGCCTTAATTGTGGCTGATTTTTGACAAACATCATCACCTTTGTCAACTTATTCTTCTATAATTTTTGACGGTCTTCCATAACGTTCTCGATCTTTCACTGCACTAATTTCAAAAAAGTGTTGAAATATAATTTCAATGAAGTCTTCATTTGTTGTAATTTTGCCAAGTTCAATTTATAGTTTTCGTTACGCAGCCATAAGTAACTCAAATTTGACCATTAGTAAAATTATTGTTATTCTAATGTTTATAGGCACCAATGTCTCACTGACAATATATAAAATAAAAACTTTAAATAGCATACTAATATATTATTAAAAAATAATCAAATCGCTTGAATTGTATAAGAGATAATTACTTTAACTTTCCAGACGGACTCTTGGGGCACTCGGGAAAAAATTTCTTATAATGTTTACCATGGTGTATAACTAGAACTAATAAAAATATAAATAACAGCTCGATCAATACGATGTAATAGATGTCTTAGTTTTGAATCTCTATAGATAAATGAAAGATGTTTTATATATTTATGAAATCCTTAATATTTAATTCATACCTATATGTCGGATGGAAACATGAACAATGAAAGACAGTAGAAAAAGAAAAAAGTAAAATGAGAGCATTGCCATAAATAATACTACTCCAATATTCTTTTGGTGTTTCTGCACTAGATATAAGTCGTTGAGCAGCAATAAAAGATGGTACAATGAGACAACCATGTGTTAAACAATTTGCAACATGTTCTACGAAAAAAAATAGTTTATAAAATGTTTTTAATATTGAAAAAGTTGTATGTACCATGTGGTGTAGGTATATAAGCTCGGTTAATCGCTCGTTCATTCATAAATCGCCGCCAACATTTGTGTTTCTTTTGTTCGCTTGATCCTGATGACTTATGTAAAAAGCCATTACAGGCATTTGTACCAAGGACACGCTTTTGAATGTGCATATTTTGAAAGAAAATAAACTAAAGTAACAGTCGAAAAAAATAAATCAAAAGTTGAGAAGAAAAACAATTTTAAATGTTACATTCTACTTTTAACAAAAAGAATATCTGATTTGATCGTTTGTTATATAAAGCATTATCGAAATTCTCCCAAAGAAAAGAAAAACTTAGATATTAAACAAGTAATTACTTTAAGAATAAAGGTTATCAAAATAGGAAAAATAAATTTTACATATATAATGAATAGCTCCAATCACGGACAGCACATGCATTCTGCCAATCAATCAGATTAAGTAGCAGAGTTTATCAAATAAATACTAGATACTAGGAAGATGTCGCACCATGGTGCAATAATTCTTCTACGAATCTTGTCGAGTTTCACTGAATGCTACGAAATGGCGAACAAGTAAAGTGGCAGCAGACGGAGGTGGGAGGGATGATAGAGAAAAGCAAGAGAAATATCTCGAGAATTCAGAAGGCGTATAAACAATTTTTTCAGAGAGGAAAGTGAAAAATTTTGTTGTTTTGACTCAACAATCGTTTTGTCTTAATGAAAAGAACGATTTTTACTGAGAAAAAATGAAAAATTTTTCAAACTCTGCGGTACCCGCTTTTCCATCATCATATCCCTGCTTCATGGTGTCAGAAGTTGTAAACAAGTTAAGTATTAAATGAAGACAAATATAGAAAAAGAATGTTTAATCAAGTAAATATACAATCGATTTTACATGAAGTCTGAGTAGGTAGACATAACAAATATACTTAAGAATATTGTTTGACTAATTGATTAAATAAATAGTCCGTAAATCATGCTGTTCTTCAATGTAATTGTCAATAGATCGACTAATGTTATCTTGATTATTTCCAATAGGAACAACTATTGTTGATTGGACAGCATGTAAACCATACAATATTAAACAATATAAATAAAATTCTTTTTAATTTAAATATCATAATGATAATGTATTCTAAAGTAAACTAAAACTAAAATTGAATTAGATAATCTATAAATTGTAAAAGAATTAATATCGTTGTCAAATCAGATCGAAAATCATATATATATGTTCTTCATCATGAAAACATCGAAGGAATATATCATTAGTATATTAAATATATAATAGTATAAATGGAATTTAATTTAATGTTTACTAAACTGTTATAAAAGCGAAACATATTTTTTCTTTAAATTGTAGTTAGTAAAAACTCGACAACATAAATGACAATAAGTTGCGATTAACTGTTGGAAAAATGATGATTATACAGGGTGTCTCATAATTATAAGACCCCCCACTAAATTTCCATAAAAGTAAAGATTAATTCAACTAAAGAAAGTTTCATTTCTAATCTTATGTCACACCTATAGACATCTAGTAGTACTCTATCATATACCATATTGGTTTCAATTTAGTCGGTTACCATTGGTGAATAAATTCTAAAAAATTTGAATCACTGTGTCTCACAATTATAAGACCCCCNAAAAGCGAAACATATTTTTTCCTTTAAATTGTAGTTAGTAAAAACTCGACAACATAAATGACAATAAGTTTCGATTAACTGTTGAAAAAATGATGATTATACAATCGAATTTTTTTAGGTTCGATTTTCCAATGAATACATACGGAAAATCAGATTAACTTTGGATTTTTATTTTTCTAGATCAAATTAAATTTTATATTTATATTTAATATCAATTCAATGTTACTCAAAAAATACATATGCCTTGTATTTCAATAAACATACAGAATTATCAAAAATCAATTTTTCTATTCGTCTGTCTTTTGAATTAAGTAATTAATTAGACTTTATCTAAATCAGACATTGTTGTTTTCATTATTCAAATGTTGCTTTATTCTATGTTCTCAGTATGTAATATGCAGTATTTTGTTTTCTTATGTAAAGACACAATTAAATAAAATCCTGTAAAAAACGTGGCATATATTGTCTGGAAAATTATTATTTAATAAGTGACAAGGTTAATAAAATAGTTTTATCAAAAAAAAAGTTTTCAGAGTTCTTAGCAAGACGAATTTCGAACTGAGCTCCTTGTAACGAGTGCATGAATTCAATTTGAAAATAAATGGCATTTCTCCTCATGTTAAAGCACAATTGTCGCTCTCAGATAGTTATTCTAACCTTTATTCATATCATCTACATTCTTGAAGATTTATTTCATTCTTTTTCAATTCTCCGCTTTACACTCAGTGGTGACTTGACCAGGAGATGTCGGAAGTGTAATACCTTTTCAATCGTGGAGACTTTTCTTCCAATAGAACTGAAAATTTTCTTTTGCATTCTGTTACACCCAAGATATTCTCCCTTTGAAAAAAAAAGAAGAAAATCACGACACTCCTCTCGTCAATGTTGGCTGTTTCGGGCTACCACTACCATACCTATGAAAACTCTAAAGAAATCATTTCTTATCTGATTCATCTTTCAATAATGAAAATAAAATCATGTGTTCAATCTATTTTTATGCTTGATTAAAATAACGAGTACGATGAAGCCTTTGCATCAATTTTCTTTTTCCCGCATCTCAATGTAGATGCAGTGTAAGAGGCGTGCTTTTGTTTTGAAAAACACAGTCATTAATTTCTTCCACAAAATTTGTTTGAAATGTATGCAATTTTAGCATAGTGAACTACTTTTATATGTAAACAGTTTCTAACGACTGAAAGATTACTATGCATCTTTCTATAAAAGCGTATTTTACTATTTCTTTTCGGTAACAAGAAAGCGAATTTTAAATCCCAATATATGGACAGATAAACTATTCAAAACTCAACAGATCGTACTTTAAAACATAAAGTTAACTTCATTAATTTAAGATCAGTAAAATATTTTTAGCTGTCAAAATTTGTTAAAATCTTCGATTTTAAATTTACAATTCTAGTCACCTCGAATAATTATAGTTTGATCGGTATATGCTTCAACAAGAACTTTTTCATACTGTTTTTTATAGAAGTGTTCGAGCGCTCTAATGCATAGGAAATAATTTGAAAATTTTCTACATCTCTGACAATTTTGAGTCTAAATCAATTAGACGATTACTTTTTTGAAAAATAATGAATAAAAAAGAATATATATATATATACTCTTTGATAGTCATCTTAAAAAGCAATCAAAGCATGCAATCAAATATTTTACCATAAACTTTAATATCCTATGAGATTGGGTCAAACTTCATGTACATTATCAGATAGGTAAAGTTTGTAGAAGAAATCATGAACTACTTTTGACAAAGATATAGCTCTCTACAACAATTCTTCATTGCGACAGAATAGAAACAAAACTATTCTAAAACTTTTGCTTCGTATGTAATTGAGTATTTCGTCATAATACCGAATTGAAATACAATTTACTGATACTAATCTAGATATAAAACATTTTTTCAAAGAAGACAACTATTGTTCAGAGTAGAAGAAAAAGTTGAACTTAAAACCTGATTAAAACTACATGTTGAAATACATCGTAGATATTGATGAATATTCTAGTTCTCTACAACTACTGATCGTTCTTACGCTACATTTCTATGTCAACTTGATGTCTCATCTTCTACAATACTTCTTTACCTGATATGAAGCAAATGATAATTATAGTCTGTTTTTTTTTCTCTTCATTGAAAAATAATATTCATTTTGATCTTTCTTGATCACAAGCTACACAATAGTGAAGAATAAACATTAAAATCCTTTAAAACTTTATTCATAGCATTGAATATTTTTAATTTGTACTAAAAATATATTTTCGTTATTTGTAATATACAATGACTTCATAGATCTGAGTTCAATTATCAGTGGAACTTCCACTACTTATACAATAAATGCACAGATGCATCACATTATCAATTGTGTTCTGAATGTCTTCAAAAATGATGAGATTGAGAATTTTTCTTCTCACATTAGAATATAATTCTTTCTTTTTATTTTATTTTGCTTTTGTTAAATAATTATTCGCAATTAATTTACGATATATGCGGACAAATGAAATTAGCAATATCAACATGATAATTTATTAGTATTCTTGTGTCGATACATGATGTGTTTTTATCAATAAAATATGAATTGAAATTGCCACTCTTGTACAAAAAACATCATCGTCTCGATGACAATGATAATAGCAACAATCAATTGATCAAGATTCTTATCGGATGAACACGTATATTTTCAGTGTTTATTAAAAGGTTTCCCAAAACTCTTTTTATTATTTCGATAATAGCAAATATAATACTTTTAATTATTTGATGAAAAATGTTAGTACAATATAAATAATTCATAATGAATATATTGATTATATATAAAGGGCATTGTAGATAGAAACAAATTAGAAATTTTAAATTGTTCTACTATTCACTAATAATACTCATACATTTGATAGCCATTGAAAAATAAGTTTATCTTCTATATTCACATTACTTAGAAAGGTCGATAAAGACATGTTGTTTCAAGTTCAAAGAGGGTATGAATATTTGCACCTAATGCTAATGCAACTCGAGCAAGTTGAGTTGTTGAGTAATACATAGCCGATACTCCAATAATGATTAAATCTGCTTGATCATCTTCAACATAAGGTACAAATTTAGATGGTAATTCACCTTGAGTTAATTGATCGAGATAATGGTCTAATATTCCATTAACTGAATTTTGATGTTGATTTTGAAGACGATTAATTGTATGATGAAGTTCAATGAGATGTTGTTCATGTTTTGAAAGATCACTCTCATTTAATTTTTTACGAGAATAACTACAATCACGAAATATTCGATAAAAACGTGTTTGTGTAAGAGCAAAATATGATGACCATAAACTAAGGCAATCATTTAATTGTCGACTTAAATTAGTCAGTTCAGTATGAAGATCAGGAGGAAAAAAACGACCAGCCGTATTCACTTGAAGATTATTAACCTGATGTTTATCATTATTGGTACATTCATTGATACGCATTAGCTAAATTATAAATGAAATAAATAATTCAAAAAATTTTCTTCGACTTACTATTGCATCAAT